CTAAATATATATATGCATATTTAAAATTTTCTAATCGGTATTATTATAAAGTTGCTGACTTACGTATCTAAATAAACTATAAAGCGATTTTTACTAACTAAATATAACTCTGATAAACTTTACATACGTACCAAAACTCTGGTTCATAAGTAGCCTAATATGTAAAACCAATTTACTATTTACCATATATGTTTTGAACTACGGGGTCTCGCAGCATTTAAAAAACTTTGTTACAAAACTGTAATCAATTGAAACTATGCAATAAACTGGTTTTTAACAAATTTGACTAGGCGATTTCAAAAGTTATTTGCATACATTGTACGTACGTACGTACGTAACTGGTATATACAGTATATACATAGTATATATACAACTTCATATAAATTAAAGCCAGCACAATAACTTTTGAAATCGATTTCAATATATGACCTTGAGATAGTTTTATTAGCTTGATATAGGAAAAAAATCAATATCAATCAATATCAATACTTCAACTTAAAAAAAAAAGAAGTTAAAACGCTAGAAAAGAAATATTAAATACTGTTCTAATACAGTACTAAAAGAAAAAAACACGATGCTATTTTCTGTTATACATCTATAAATTTTAGCCATCCCAACTATTACTTGTCTAAATTAGATTTTTTTTGTAGGCACGTATTTTGATAATGATTAGACTCATGACAAAACCTACAAACTCTTGACTTGGATGATTTCTTTTTGGGCTGATAATTTTCTTGTGCACTTTTAATGCGTCCTTTGCATGGTGCTCCTTTTCCGACATGGTATGCAGGATTTGAAACTTTTCAATAGGAACTAGTTCATTATTTATTTGTATAGCGACAACCTCTCCTGCATTATAACGCTCCCTTAAAATTCGAAGTTCTCTTTCTCGTGTTTCTTTTTCATGTTCATGTTGCTTTTTTTCGATATAATCTTTTAAAAAAATATCCAATTCATAATCATTTTCATTATCACCTTGTAGTGCAATCGCTTGTTTTGCAAGACTCATTGTTTTATTAAAGCAAATCTTTTTTTCTACACGTTCTTGAAACTTTTCCTGATCATCAACCTGAAGCAAGTTCATCCTTGTTGGTGTACTTAATTCATGTGTAACTGAAATTAATTCAGTATTATGACTTGATGTTAAAAATAGCTCTTTAGTACGTTCAGATTCTGTTACTCCATCCTTACACCATCGAATGGGCAATAGCATTATATGAAACCTTGCAAAAGTTGAATCAACTAATACACTAAAAAAGTGCCAACATACAATCTCGTAATTAATTAATAAAAGACAGGTGCATGAATGACGTCCATCTTTAAATAATACAACATGATAAATGGACCTATCCGAAGTTAAACATGTAACTTTCCAAACTTTTTGAATAGTTGAATATTCATATTCATTAATTAAAGCTGATAAGTATGATTGTGAAACGTCATATAAATTCTCAATAAAATCCTCATTACATGCAACTTCCTACAATTCAAAATATTAAACCTTAGTATCTACTCAAACAATTTTAAATATCTGAAAATTAGTATTCTAGATACATATCAGTCACAGGACATGTCCTTATCATTGCAGTTACTTATAAGTCAAATGAAGTGACGTACTAAATTTTATATG